TTCAGCTTTGAAACTATTTACGGCGGCAAATTTACGTTATCAACTCAGCTGGTAGTACTCAATTATCTTGTTATACTCTTCCACCGACGCAGCACCACTGCATGTTTCTTTAGAAACTTACCCTCTTTATTCTGTAAACGATCGCCGAGTAACAATAAGCGAGCGATCCTCAGTCTTGAGAATAAATTCTGTTAAATACTGAACTTGTTTTATCTTGCTTTACGAAGTCTTGTTGCAGAATTAAAGAGGAGAGAAATCAGTTCAAGAAACGAAAAGCCGCTCTTGATTAGCTCATGTTTCGATCATGTTGTAGAGCGCCAGATTACCTTGCGGGAGATCGAGGGTTCAAGCCCCAGCCCCACTCATGGTCTTAAAATAACTGTGGAGAATTTACTGTCTTTGCAGTGACATCTGAAAATGGTTAGACGTTCTATTCTTCTCGGATGGGGATGATAAACCGTGGGCCCCTTCTCCTGCATCTTCTCTGTCCTGGTCAGCAGGGGTCGCACTTCTCGTAAAGAGTAGGGAACGTAGCGCTCGGTTTTGCAGTGTGACTTTGTTATCGTGTTTTCAGGCTTCAGAGTAAATCAGCTCCAAAGCGGAACTGGACCAGTCTGTTCAAATATCGCAAACAAAATAAAATAAATGAAAGCAAAGCCGGAAAACGTACAGGAAGATGGAAAATTTTATTACCGATGAGCCAGTCAGAGCTTAGATCTATATCTCCCATCATTAAAAACTAATTCAGATTTGATCTAGCTGAGTGAATGTCCTGAACAAGTAGTATGGTCAAACTCAACGAGTAATACTCATTTTCTTCCTTGAACAAGAAATAAGCTTCCATCACAAATTGATCCTAGAGGATCAGATTTGAGAAACCGCTGACAATCGCGAAAAAAAAGAAGCAGGAAAATACGTCGGAAAACAATAATGGATCAAGTATTTGAGACAACTTTTCTTGTAATTTTTCCAACTTTAACTTAGATGGAAGCGGCAAAGTCTTAAAATTGTTGTGTGGTGTGTGCAATTAAGTTATTTTCAAAAAGCAAGAGATTGTGATTGTTTGGGCGATCGATGTAGATGATGCTATTTGTAAAGGATGCAAGAGGCCTGTCGAAGAGCACAAACGAGTCGGATAGTATACTTTTATCGTATCATTGCTATCTCAAGTTATCGTTGATCATTTGACGTACTCACTTTCCTGTTAGCGTTTTTTAGAGCTTCAAATGTACTGCTAGTACAATCTACTTCCAATTTCAGCGAGAAATTCGATACAACTCGTAAAAACTCGAGAACTCTTGTTACCAGTCGTGATCATATGATCGAATGATCAGAAGTTTGTCTTCTGTTTCAAAAGTTTTTTTTGACGTGAATCATAACCGGCGGGGGCGACTACAAAAACAAAAAGGGTCAATGTCGAGTAAAGAAAGCAAGACAACGTTAGTACTAGAGATACGGTCGTTACATCAAAGAGCTTTTTAGAAATGGCGGAATAATTACGAATTTTATCGATGTAAGGAAAAGTCTTCTCAATCATTAGTCTCGGAAATATCATCAGATATGATCAATGATGTGGGAAAATTGTGAATTCAAACAAGTACTAGTTTGGGCTTCCAGCTGTAATATGAATAGTTAAATAAACTAATTATTTCCCAATAAAAGTTACATTCATTTTATCATTTCAACTGCACAACAAAATCGTATACACTCTTTGCAACCTTCTTCTCCAAACCCTTAAATTACAAGAGTTACGTGATAATTCGATGGATGCTAAAAAGACTCTTATTACATGCAAAACAACAAAGAACCAGTAGGGCTGATATTTTAACAGTGGGGATAAAAAACATTTCCAAAAACCTTTTTTTCCTGGTAACAAGACTAAATGAAGTCAGATTAAACTAATGTGGAGAGGTTTGTAGACCTCTTTAGGAAGACAGATGATTTACATCTATCAGATGTTTGAGAAATGAGACTTATCTCAAAATGGGACTTTGACACTTCATATTCTGCAGTAATAGGCATTGGCTTGGATACCTATTTGAGGAAATTTATAGTTTATAAAATTCTAAATTTATAGTATGATATTTCAGACACTTAAGAAATTTTATAACTCTTACCAGAAGCTCAAACACTCTTAGGGAACATGACAATATTTCACCTGACTACTCCTCATATTCTTTTCCAATGAAATTTGGAAAAAAATTTCAAAAACTTTATTGGTAATTTTACAGTTGCAAAAAGAGTATAGACAAAAGTTACATATAGTATAAGCTAGTCGAGGCAAGTTGCCTGGAGAGAATAAAAGATTGATAACTTATACCAGTAGTAAGCTTCTGGTACCAGCTTGCCACAGTAAATGTTGCACCTATCCATTCTGTCAGTAGTACCAATTATATGTAGAGGGGTCACTTCACATCTTCCTAAAGAGCAGAGAACATAGAAGTAAATTCCTATCATCAGTCTCAAGGATCAAGACATTTCTGACAAATTTAAATGCAAGTCAAACTGGTTTGAAGACATTTTAACTTGAAATTTGTTTTCAAATATGACAGAAATACTGTAATTAACATTCTAAAGAAACAAGGAGTTCCAGCCCCTTGAGTAATTATCCATTAGTTGTATCACTCAGCTCATATTTTAAGAACCAGAGAAAGTTTGATAATTTTAATCGGTGAGTTTCATAGGAATCCGGTTGTTTCGATACAAAGTTGTTTTGATACAAGTCAAAGTCAATTCATTACACATGTAAAGTCGATTCACTACAAATTCACGTCACTTCAAGTCATTTTGATACAGAATATTATACTATATATATAAATGACCAAACGAACCTTCAAAGACATGTATACTCACTAGAGCCAACACAAACCTCTGTTGTACAAATAAAACTCATACCTCTGCGAACCTCCACATGTACCCAAGCCTCTTACGCAATGAGAACATGCAAACGAGACCAAGTTTTGGTTAAGTTTATTTATTGAGAACAGAGATTTATATAGATACAATTGAGACTTCTTCTATAACTCCAGCGCATGTTATGCCTACAATCACGAAACTCAAATACTATTAATCATGTCGTGTAAGTCGGTTATGCAATGGACCTGTGAGGAAACAGTAGTTATTCTGGCGCATGGGTAGACAGGTTTGTAAATTATCATATCAGTGGACACGTAAACTAATTGTTTAAAAAAACTTGTTAATTTTACCTTATTGTTCTATTGATAGCAAACAACCGAATCCAAACGCTTTAAATGAACTGATACCAGTGTATAAAACACACTGGGACTCGAAGAATGATCATTTGATCATATGATCACGACTGTTAACAAGAGTTCTTGAGTTTTTATGAGTTGTATTGAAACGACTTGAATCGAAACGACTTTGTATCGAAATGACCATAAACCGTTTCATAGTACTCTAGTTAGCACTTCAAGCCCAAAAAGGCAATTAAAAAATTCTCACCAAAACACAGCAAGAAAATAAGATAAAACCGGAGATGATTGAGGCAAGACTATAACCGTTGTTAAGACTCATGCCTACATACCATGTACAACAGACTTGGAGAACAAAAAGGCCAAATACAGTTGTAAACCATGACTTGAGAAATCCACCTCAACCTCCCAAGAACGAATTCGCTAAAGGTTGTAGTAAGAGCAACTCAACCCTGAAGCCGGAAGATTTTTTTAAAGCCTTGTGTCCTGAGTGGCTACAAAGAGAAAGAAAAGACGATGTTATTTGAAGTGATTTGAAGCTTGGGAGTCACCTCGAACTTTACCGAACTTTATTTCAAAGTTGAAGTAAAATAAGATCAAATTATAAACTACCCTTTATTATCATAACGAAAATCTCACGATCGTCTCCGCATACAACCCTGCGATTTATAGAAGTAAGACATCAACATCTTAAGACTAACCTTAAAGATTTGTAGTCTCATATGCACATCTCGATCGTGAGTAAGGCAAATCTCAAACTTCAAGTTTTCGGCCTTTTTTCGCGTTTTGTTCGCACTTAAAATGGCTCATCCGAAGAACCAGAAAACTCCACGAGTATCCACAGAATTAGAAATGGTGGTAAACCTGTCGTGCTCCTTCATCCCTCTCCAAAAAATATGACAAGAAGGTGTCGATCGCCCAGTTGAAAGCCCGCAGAAGCGCACTAAAAATTTCAAAATGGCGCCGAATGCGCCGAGCAAATTTTATTCGCGCATGCGTTGCTTAATGCCTTCTGCTGATTCTCCGCCATATTTCCCAAAGGAAATCCGTACATAGGACTTTATTTTTCCTCAAAATGTGAAAGTCCGTGGAATTAGTGTGGTGATCGTTACCTTTTTTAGTTTCTATAGATAATGAGTGAAGTCGAGATGAGGGAAAATCCAGAATCCGACTTTGGTGAGCTTGGAAAAAAATGGATTAATTGGCGATTAAGAGAGCTGAGGGAATTCAGGAGTATATTTTCAAAGCACCTTTCGGAACACGTTTATAAATGTTTTGAGCTACATTCGGAGCCAAATCTGAAAGCTGTGATTAACGAAGAGAAATGTCAACGAACGATTTTTGCTCCTTTGGAGTACTTCGTTTGTGGAGAAGACCCCAAGACTGGCTTTCAAAAATTGCAAAGCATGAACTCGCCCTCTCAACTTTGCGGAAAAGTGTTTAAAGTTGGAGAGCCGACTTATTCCTGCAGGTTTGTACAAAGAAATCATCCCAGTAAACTAAAATAACGATAGTTTACTTATTTTCCTTTGATTAAGGCTTATTCTTTCGCGGTCGTATGTTTATGTGCATATTAATAAGTTCTGCTTTGTTCTTGTCGGGTTTGTGAGTCGATCGTTTATTTTGCCGCGTCATAAAATAAGATTTTTGCGATTTTTTCAAAGGCAGAAACGCTCTCAAAGATATGGCCTATGAGATATTGTACCAGATCAAAAAGCTTCACAAAGGCATGTATTTGGCTACAAATCGGGACAGTTGTTTTGTTTATTGTTTGCTGAGATGGATGATAAAAGCATAATGATTAGTTTTCATGATTTAAGATGGCTTTTATTACTACAGGTTTGATTAAAAAAAACAAAATGAATGTCTCAATCGTCGCATGTGATGTTAGTAATTAAGCATGGGCAAATGTCATGTGAGCATTCAAGGAAAACCCAAACAAGATAGTGTTTGTCAGCTTTTCCACTTTTTTGGGTCCTCATGACAGTCTGAAGAGTTTTTAAAAATTATATCATATTTTCCCTCTTCTAAGCCAGCCAATATTAAAGACAATATTCTTAATTTTTAGCTTTAATATGTAGGTTAAGTTTAATTTTAACATTTCTAAGCGCAATTAAAATTTTAATATTGACAATGATACCATATAATTCAATAAATTACAATTTTAGGGTAAATACTGTTCTTGTAGCTTTAACTTAAGTAGGTGTTTGGTGAAATGTCTGTCACAGAACTTGGTTTGTTGAGATGAGCTACAGCTAAAAATATGTGAAATACCATTAAAGGTCTAACAGTGTTTAAGCAGTTAGCAATATGTGCACCCAAAGTGAGAGTGTTGTCCCAAACAGCATGCAGACATTAGTTTGCTCATGATTCTGGCCTGCTGAGATGCTTCAAAGAAACTTACTTACTTACTACCCGTCATGCCTGTGTGGCACATAGGGCAGCAACGAAATCTTTCCAACCCTGTCTATCTTTAGCCAGTTTTTCAATGGTGCTCTAGCTGTAATCGAGCCCCCTTAGTCTCTTCTCTACTGTCCTGCACCAAGTTGTTTTTGGGTGCCCTCTACTTCGTTTGCCTTCATGTGTCCAGTGCATTGCAATTCTGGCTATGTTGTTACTGGCCTTCGGCATCACATGACTGATCCACCTCCATCTTCTCCTGTTGACAAGTGTATGAATATCCTCCTGCTTGGTTTGCCTCAGTAGCTGGTTGTTTGATATTTTCTGAAGCCAGAAGATTCTCAGAATTTCCCTGAGGTTAGCTGTGTGGAAGGATGCTAGTTTTGAGAGGTCCTGTTCTGTCATTCGCCAGCATTCCAAGCCGTAAAGGAGAGTTGACAATACACAGCTCTGATAGATTCTAAGCTTCGTCTTTGTGCTGTAGCTTGCTGACCACCATACTGATCTTAAACTCATAAAGGCATTTCTTGCTTTGTTCAATCTGCTTTGTATATCTACACTAGTACCCCCATCTTGGCAGAGCACACTTCTGAGATGTGTGAACTTGTTGGTGTATGGAATGACCTGTCCTCTTACCCTGATCTTTGTTGGGGAAGGGACATTAACACACATGGCCTCCGTCTTCTTCAAGCTAATTCTCAAGCCGACCTGGTTGCTGAACATGCTGAGCCAGTCTGTCTTTTCCTGAATGTGCTGTCGTGTGTGGGACAATAGGGCTAAATCATCTGTGAAGTCAAGGTCTTCAAGGAGTATAGTAAAAAGGGTCCATCTTATGCCTCTTCACTGATCTTCCATTGTTTGACAAAGGATCCAGTCGATAACAATATTGAATAGCATGGATGACATGGGACTGTTGCCTTGTTGTGGCAGAGTGGCTTGTGCATCCCAGTGACTCCAAGAGCTATGCCAGTGGGGGTGTTTACACTCCTGGTAGGGCATCCCAAGCCAGAAAGGTCAAGGAGTAGGTTCCAGACTAAAGACAGTCCCACAGTCCTCCAGGCATGGGGGTTAGGCTTAAGGCTAACAACCTTATCCTGTAAAAAGAATTTGTTATGGAAACAGCCCCAAAGATAACCAATATCCTGCATGCAGGCCTTCCAAGGTCTTCGAACCGTACTTCAAAGAAAAGAATCAATTAAATTGTTAGCCTAAGACTGTATCTATTTCTTTTTTAACAAAGTGTAACACCACTTGTTGGCATAAAATGTCTTAAACATTGTAATACCCCTCTCAAGGAAGTTGGACATGGATTGAAATTCTTTAATAATTTTTCTTGGGTAATAAAATGTATGTGACAATGTTTCAATAAACATGGATTCCTTTTTTGATTTTTCAGGGACTGTGGTCATGATAGTACTTGTGTTTTATGTATCAACTGCTTTCAGAAGAGTATCCACAAAAATCATCACTACAAGGTAGGTTTCTTGTTTCTTGTTTCTTGTTTGTTGACCTGTTAACTAATAACATGTCAAGATACAGTTAATTGAGTTGATAATAAATGCATGTGAATATATGAAAATCATATATTTGAACTGCAGTTGATAAAAGCAAATTACTCTGTGGTACCTTCACCAACACAGCACCACACAGTTTCTAAAAAAAATTACCTACTTTACATAACACAGCCAGCCATAGTTCATTGTTCAGGGAAAGAACTATTTTTTATGCTTGCTTTTCAACATTTATAGAGGGTGGTAAAGAAGGGTCCTGATCGTGTTTCACACACAAATTTGAGAAACTCACTTCAAACACATGACTGTATTTAAAGGGAAAACTTCAAATTTGTCTTACTGTGTACAAGGTTTTAGGGAAATCTTGGACTTCACAAAATGAACAAAGAATGTACTGTAAAGTGGTAGTGGAATTGAGTGGAGGGTACATTTAGTTTTGTCTGTTATCACATGCCAGGCAAAATTACTGAATGCTGATTGGCTGGGAAAGAGAGCATTTTTTTCTTAATGAAACAAGAGGGCATGATTACTTGGTGATGATTGAGCCTTTTTGCTGTTTGCAGCAATGATTTATTGATTGGAATTGAACTGAATGGAGCCTTGTAACGTTGTTAACTCTATTTTGAGAATAAAATGTTCATTGAATCTGTTGATCAATTACATTTGTTTTGACAATTGTGGCAGCGCTGAAAGGGCTTCATTGTGTGCACATCATGTACGAATGCAATTCCCTAAAACATTTTGCCCATTATGTGATAAACAAGTAATTTCAAGGGTCCTTGGGAAATTAAGGATTAATTTCACGTGTATTTTTAAAGTTTTACCTAAAATTTCCCTTGTCACCTTGCAACTTGAGCAATTTTGGGAAAACTTTGAAAATACATGTGGAATTAATCCGTAATTGCTGGTGGTCACTTGTGATAACATGTACAAATTGTACACCTGGTTTCAAAGTTGAATAAGCTCACTGTAGAAGTTATGGTAGAGAACACAAGTATGAGATATGGAACTAAAATTGCACAACACAAAGTTCAGTTGCCATTTCATTCCTTGTACTATTTTTATGTTGCACAGTTTAGTTGCCTTAGACAGCATTTTATTGTAAATGATTAAATTTGTTCATTCCCATATGAGAAAGTTTTGGCAAAAGCAAAATGTGCGATACATGTACACCTGTACATGTAGTTCCATCTTTCATTTTTCTGCCTTCAAATCTGAAGTTAATGTTTTTGTTTTAGTGTTCAGTTTTCATTGTTGGGAAAAAGGTGGAATTTTGAGAAGAAAACAGGGAAATTTTTAATTAATCAGATTACTGAAAGTTAGTTAGATTGGATGGACAGCCCCTTATCCCAAAATGGATATAATACAAGCAGAAACAGAATGATCTTCTTGGTTTAACTGCAACGATTGATCACCAACTGCCGTGTATCTATAACAATTCCTAATCCATTAGGAATTTTCCCAGTATTGATCAGAAATCAGGCATGCATGTTTTCTATCTCTACAGAAACCTCATATCCCAGAATACTTTTTAATTTTTTGCAGATGAACACATCTGGTGGTGGTGGATTTTGTGACTGTGGTGATGCTGAAGCATGGAAAGATGGGGTGGCCTGCAGCACACATCAACGTATGGGAGATGCTGAAGTGGAACAGGTGTGAAGTTATATTTTATTTAAAATCTGTCTAATGGTAGTATAATTATCTTAAGTATCTGTTTTCCTGAAAGTGAGAATTTAAGACATCACAATGGTAACATTGAAAGAAATAATTAAAAAAAATTAACTTATAGTTTTTTTTAACCCTTCTAACCCTATGCATATCCTCCATACTATTTTTTGCACATTTCTTAGGATGCTAACAAGGAGAATTTGTTGGGAAATCAAGTGCTTTGTTAGGTGGTGATTATTTCCTATATTCTCCTTGACCTTAATGCTTGATTCAGGGTTGATATGGTAAGGAGAGGTTAGATGTTGGTCACTTTAAGGGATCAAAGGGTTAAGCATTTTGCAAGTAGCCTGCCTTGTTTCTGTAAAAGCAGTGTTGAGTTTCAGACTGAAACTTGAATCAATTTCCTTCAGGGTTTTGTTTTATCTGACGGAGCAAAATTGGGTGATTTCATATAGTTGTTTGCAGAGGACAACTAGGAGATGTACTAAGTTTTGAGACATGTGTAGAACTGTTGTCCTGCGTATTAAAATTTCTATTTTGCCACTGTCTTGTTTCCACTGCTTTCATTCCTAATTTATTTTTTTGTTCACAGAATCCAATTGACAAGCTGCCACCAGACACAGCTGACAGAGGAGCTGATATCTACAATGTTGTGTTAAACTACTGTGTTGATCTTATCTGCTGGGACAAGGATGATGAACTGCCTGATTACCTAGATGTGATGTAAGTTTGGAACAGTTGTATAATGTTAAAAAGACCAATTAAACTATTCTGTATCCAATTAAATTTCCTACAACGCACTCAGAAAAATAGAGGTTTAGCTTATCAAGATTGATTCATAACTATTGCACTCAATTTAGCCTTACCTCAACTCTTAACCCACTCACATTTGAGATCAAATATTGATTCTCCCCGAGTCTGTTGGATAGATCTTATTACTTAAGTCAGGAGAATTTGGTGTTAGATAAGATATCACCTTTTTGCTTGACAGTGTATTGGTGAAATTCATTTATGGCAATCCCAGGAGTGGAAGGGTTGGAATGATTAGCAATCTAATGAAGTTTTTTTCCTTCTTCATTTCAGTTGCAATGAAGATACTTTTGTTACAATGTTATTTAATGATGAAGTTCATACCTATGATGAGGTTTGTCAATGATCACCTTTCATTTTACTGGATTTGTATGCAGTGCTTAATGAACTGGGTATTTCCTTATCATCTCAGGCTTAAGTATTAACTCATAGTTTACTGTTGTTATGACAAAACTATGTGACCGTTGTTCTTTGAATTGCTCTCTAAATCACTGGAATTGTTAATTAAGCTAATGATTGAACAACAGTTTTTTTTCTTTTATTATTTAAACAATTGTTTTTTGCTCAAATTTTACATGTTAGTTTGATTTATTATTATGTGGTACATGTACATTGAATACCTGCCAGATGTGTTCCTTTAGATAAAGTCAAGTTATTGCAATGTCTCAAAACAATTGAAAGTTTGGTTTTAGTTCTTCTGTTACCACATTTGTCCAATCAGTACATGGCAACATGAGATTTTTATTCTAAAGCTGGCTCCTTTATCAGGCATGTAAGATGAAATGAATCTCACAACAATCAATTTGCTTGTGTCAACTTTATCATGTACTTTGGCCTAAGGATCATCTTAAGGGTAGTTTTTCACTACAACTGGTACTTGTCTACAATGTGTAAGGACTTCTGAATGCAGTGATCATGAAAATTAACTCTTTAAACTGACAGGTTATACAGACTCTGCAGCAAGCAATACCTGGATGTACACAACATCAGGCATTAGCTTTTGCAAATACTGTGGACAGAGAGGTAAGTCTGAAGCCTGGACAATCTTGAAATATCTACAGTAGTTAACTGGATTATAATACTGAGTCTCTTTGCTTGAGGGTAATTTTTACTGTATTTAATAAGTATGATCAAATGATGATTGAATATTTTGATATTTAAAGTAAGGGTATGCATTTGCTAACACAAAAAGCCTAAATCTGATTTGTTGAGTGATACAGAAAAAAAAAAAACAGCTGTTCCAGCAGTCAAATTATATAGTTTTTGAGGGTAGACAAGCAAGAAGCTGTTTGGGTGGTTAGGAGAAAATCTGTGCCAATCAAGAAGTAAAGGAAACACCACTTACTATGTAGCTTTGATTGTTTTCCAGAGCTATAGTGTAAAGCTGTAATTTTTAACATCTTCGTTTTGGTTTCAGAAGCTTATTCTGTTTGAAACATTTGCTATGACTACTGAGCTGACATTCTAGCAAAGTGTTCTCCGTAACTGTATAAATTGGTATTAAAAATTAAACAACAACAACCTAACCAATGCTTACATGTATATGCCGTATTTCTCAGGGAAGATCAATTGTGAGGACAGGAAGCTACAGTCAGTGTGAGCAGTCCAGAAAAGTTATAAAGGTACCACAAACGCAAAAGTGTGTGAGGCAATCTTCAAAAAGTGGGAATTTTTCGTAACTCTTGTCTGGGAAAAAATGTTACGCTTCGTTCAGTAGCATATACGCATTGCATAACTCACGGCAGTTAAAAGGTTAAGGATTAAGGCGTAGATATTCTTTGGATGGTGGCTTGGATAGAAGGTACATAAAAAGCGTAAAAACTTTTAATTTTGTACATGTATGCGCTTTCTGTAACCCCATTTTCTCATGGTTTACACAGCAAGGTACTTCAGGACCAAGTCGGAAATCTCTCAAGTGTCGTGTGATGCATACTAAAGTCATTGCTCATCAGATGTGTGCAGTTCATATGCTGGCCTGGTTGAACAAGATTACCAATTACTCGGGTTGGTTGAAACTGTTGATGTTTCCAAAACTTTTGGTGCACTCTGATAAGGCACATCAGATTTTGAAAATTCTCTTCTGTGGTTAGAAATTAGTATAGACTGTAGGTAATAACATGATTTAGAGTGCAATTTGGTGTTAATAAGCACGAGTAAATTTTTCAAAGACAACAAAATGATTGCGCGAGCCCGTAGGACAAGTGTAGTCTTTGAAAAATTTACGAGCTAGAATCAAACCGCTCTCTAGTTTTTTCTGATAGTAAAAACAGATTGCGATCACTGGAATAGTCACGTCTACAACACTTCAAGAAAATTTGAACCTGTGCTACATGAGAACGAAGGGCTAACGATGGAAAAGTCAGCTTTGAAACTATTTACGGTGGCCAATTTACACTGTCAACTCAGTTGATAATACTTAATTACCTTTTATACTCTCCCACCGACGCAGCACCAGAGTTTCTATAGAAACTTACACCCTGTATTGTGTAAACGATCGCCGAGAAATAATAAGCGTAGCGATCCTCAGTCGTGAGAATAAATTCCGTAAAGTACTGAACTCGCGTATCTTGCTGCTCTATTTACGAAGTCTTTTTGCAAAACTGATTAGATTAGATTAGACCAACACTCATAGTCTCAAAATAACTGTAGAGAATGTTCTGTCTTTACAAGGACATCTGAAAATTATTAGATGTTCTCAAGGCTGTGCTCTAACGGCGCCCGGTCGCCTGAGGCGACTAACATTTGGCCTCGGGCGACTGAAAATATTTTCTTGGTCGCCCGGCCGGGCGACTGGCTGGTGTTGGTTTCTTGATTTACAGTCAAAAAAAAAAAGAAAATGTTGTTCAATCGGGCGCGCGTTGATATTCAAAGGTCGTTCCACGTGAATTTACGTGTA